TGTAGTATCTGTTAGTTCATTGATTGGATTGGACATGATTGATATAAAAGATGGGAATAGAGTAGGAGGAAAACAAGTTGCAGTTTGAGAAAGCAAACCTTAAATCTTTTGATCACAACCTTAAATCTGTTGAGATATAGCCACATAAAAGCAGTGGGAGTGCAGAACAAAGTCCTTGTACATAATTGAGGAAGCTTGTAGTATTTGATCCTTCTGTTGACTGTTTGAGTAATAGAAATTGATGTAATTAGTTTGTAACATTCTGCAGATGGTTGAACTAGGAAGACTGAGGAGGAGGATAATACACTGAGAGCTGCTGTGGAAGCTTTTGGTGAGAGTAATTGGCAGGTTGTTGCTGCTTCCCTTGAAGGACGGACAGTTACCCAGTGCTCCAATAGGTCAGTTATATTTTTTAATGGTTAGAGTTTGTCATGGCATGTTTATTATTGAGGTTGAGGTAATCAAACTATTCTATGTGATATTGGCACTAGGAAATCTTAGTTTTTTGCAGAATTATATTGCTTAATTTGTTCTGAGGTAACTGCCACATTAAGGTTATGATTGATACTTTTTAATGAATTCAAGTGTTATCATTTATTCTGCCTAATCTGTTGTGAAAGGATTCACATGTGGTTGAAAGTAAATTTGTAGTTATATGAGTACTTGAGCCTTTGACTACACATTGCAGTTGAATGAAATAGAGTATACTTATGCAGATTTACTTCAAGGTATTAATGAAGTTATTGTATTCTTAAGTCTGTAATATGTATGGTGGTATTTATATCTCTCTCTTTTGCCATTCCACCATGTCAGACCTCTCTCAAACCTTACTACTCCTTGCTCCATTTATACCTCCCCTCAGATTCTTCCTATCACTTCCATTCTCGTTACTTTTTCTAGCAGCCCTATTTGTTCTAGAACCTGCAACAGTATCCTCACCAAAAAAATACACTAACAGTATAGTATATATATATACTCTAACAACACTAATTAGTATATATATTTTATACTGTTAGTATAGAATATATATTCCGTGTCAACATTAATTATAAAACATATATATATTTCATCACACATATATATAGTATACTGTTAGTGTGTGTGTGTACATATATATATATATATATATATATATATATATATATATATATATATATATATATATATATATATATATATATAGTTAGTTAGTTAGTTAGTTAGTATTTTAAGTATGTGGTTTTTGTTTTGCTAGTTACTACTAATTGTATAATTATATTCATTTAATAAGTTTTTGTTTTGGCAATATATGACCGATGCATGCAGCAGGTACCAAATAAGTATGTGGTTTTTGTTTTGGTAGTTACTACTAATTGTATAATTTTTAAGCGATATGAATTTATTTTTCTTGTCACTTGACTGTTTTGTAGCATTGGTGTATAAATAAACAATGGACAAAGAATGGATGTCAAAAGATAGATTATGTTATGAATATGAGGTTGGAGTAGAATCTTTTTTACAATTTGCTAAAAAAAATGCCGTTGATCCTAATTCAATATCATGCCCATGTGCAATATGTGGCAACCTAAGGAAGCAACCTCTTGATACTATAAGGGCACACTTGTACCGTAATGGAATGGATGGAACGTATGTGTCATGGATATGGCACGGGGAGAAGGCTACGTTAAACAACTCAATAGATGATGGCGGTCTAATTAGGGGAGAAGAGCATAATCGTGTTGATGAAAATCCTATAGATATGGTAAATGCTGCTTATGACGAATACGTTGAGGATCCCAACAAATTTAGTAAATTACTAGAAGATGCAGAGAAACCGCTATACGTTGGATGTACTACGTTTACAAAACTATCAGCGGTAGTGAAGTTATATAACTTGAAGGCAAAATATAGTTGGAGCGATGCAAGTTTTACGGACCTTCTGGATTTGTTTGCAAAAATGCTTCCAACTGACAACGTACTGCCTTCTTCTTTATATGAGGCAAAGAGAAGCTTGGTTGCATTGGGAATGGACTACGAGAAAATACACGCGTGTCCCAATGACTGTATCTTATATCGTAAGGAGAATGCAAATTGTACTAATTGCCCTACTTGTGGAACTTCAAGGTGGAAGATAGGCAAGAATTCTAAGATATCCATAGGAGTTCCTGCAAAGGTGTTATGGTACTTTCCACCGATACCAAGATTTCAAAGAATGTTTAGGAGCAAGGATATATCTAAGGAGTTAACTTGGCATAGTGATAATAAAGTTTGTGATGGTTACTTGCGTCATCCAGCTGATGCACCTTGTTGGAGAACAGTAGATGAAATGTGGCCAGATTTTGCTAATGAGCCAAGAAATCTTAGATTGGCTTTATCTGCAGACGGGATAAATCCCCATAGTGTAATGAGTTCTACATATAGTTGTTGGCCAGTCATCATGATTACATACAATCTTCCTCCTTGGATGTGCATGAAGCGAAAATTCATGATGCTCAGTTTGTTGATTTCTGGTCCTAAACAACCCGGGAATGACATTGATGTTTATTTGGCACCTTTGATTGACGATTTAAAAGTGTTGTGGGAAGAAGGTATAGAAGCATATGATGCATACCGACAAGAAAAATTCGTCCTTAAAGCTGTTTTACTATGGACGATCAATGATTTCCCAGCATATGGGAACTTATCAGGTTGCACTGTCAAAGGATATCATGCATGTCCTATCTGTGGTGAGAATACATATGCCAAGAGGTTGAAGCATAGTAAGAAAATGGCATTCACAGGACATAGAAGATTTTTATGTAAAACTCATCCTTATCGAAGGCAAAAGAAGGCATTTGATGGTAAGCAAGAATTCGACTTAGCACCCAAACCATTGAGTGGCCATGATGTTCTGAAAACAGTTGAGGGGATCAATTGTAGTTGGGGAAAAAACAGTGGCAAGCTAAATGCTAAAAGAAAAATTAGTGAATCATGTTGGAAAAAGAAATCAATTTTCTTTGAGCTTGAGTATTGGAAGCATTTGCATGTTCGGCATGTTCTTGATGGCATGCACATTGAGAAAAATGTGTGTGAAAGTATTATTGGCACATTACTTGACATCCCAGGAAAAACCAAAGATGGGGTAGCTGCTCGACTAGACCTTGTGGAAATGAATGTGAGAATGGAGTTGGCACCAAAACAAGGGGAGAAGAGAACGTTTTTGCCACCTGCTTGCTATACCCTAAGCAAAGATGAGAAAAAGAAAGTTTGTAACTCTTTGTTACATATGAAAGTCCCATCAGGCTATTCATCTAATGTGAGAAACCTTGTCAATGTGAAGGAGTTGAAACTTGTTGGTCTTAAATCTCACGATTGTCACACTTTCATGCAACAGTTGCTTCCAGTTGCTATTCGAGGTGTGTTACCCAAACATGTAAGGTATGCTATCACTCGGTTGTGCTTCTTCTTTAATGTCATATGTAGCAAAGTGATAGATTCCTCAAAGTTAGATGCGCTACAAGATGAGATTGTGACAACGTTGTGTTTGCTTGAAAAGTACTTTCCTCCTTCATTTTTTGATATAATGGTTCACTTAACTGTTCATCTTGTGAGAGAGGTCAAATTGTGTGGACCAGTGTGGTATAGATGGATGTACCCATTTGAAAGATATATGAAAATCTTGAAAGGTTATGTGCGAAATCGCAATCGACCAGAAGGTTGTATAGCCGAGTGTTATATTTCTGAAGAAGCTATAGAATTTTGCTCAGAGTATTTGACTGATGTACAAACAGTTGGGATCCCATCAACATTTCAAGAAGTGGTGCGAACTCGGCCTTTATCAGGTGCTCAAGTGCAATCCATTAGCCAAGAGGAGTGGGAGCAATCACATCGTTATATTTTGGCAAATGATGTAGAAATAGACCAATATGCCAAGTAATTTTTCCAAGTCTTATAAAACTTCCAATATATTGTTTATATTGTAGTGGTTAATTGACTTTGGTCAAATATCGTTTGTTAGGGAACACAAGGCACATTTGAAGGCTACATTGCGCGGTAAAGTTAGGACAGAGAAGGGGCTACTTGATGAGCATAACCGCACATTTATTAATTGGTTACGTGATCGTGTAAGTTGTATAACTATGACTAGTACAAAAAATAAAAGTCACTGGTTTTATTATCATATACTAATTTTAAAGTGCTTTCATTTTTAAGGTTGGAAGAGCAATAAATGATTCCACCCATGAAATATCAGAAAGACTAAAATGGTTGGCACATGGTCCTCGGAACCAAGTGTTAAAGTACTCTGGTTATTTAATTGAAGGAGTTACTTTTCATACCAAAGATCGTGATAATTTGCGAGCTGTCCAGAACTCAGGCGTAAGCTTAGTTGCAAATATAATGCAAGTTTCTAGTGCAAAGGATAAGAACCCCATTGAGTCAGATATGGTATTTTATGGAGTTATTGATGAAATATGGGAGCTTGATTACCATACCTTTCGAGTTCCTGTGTTCAAATGCAATTGGGTTGAGACTAACAATGGTATTAAAGTAGATGATCTTGGTTTCAAATTAGTAAACCTCGATAGGATTGGATTCAAATCTGATTCTTTTATCTTAGGGAGTCAAGCCAAGCAAGTATTTTATATTCAAGACCCTCAAGATCCTATATGGTCTGTCGTGCTCGCAACTCCTAGTCGGGATTACTTTGAATATCAAGATGGGAATGAAATGGATGAACCAATAATCCATCATCAATGCTTTACGAAAGGGATGCCAGATGTTGACGTTAAAGATGAGAGTGAACCACCATGCATTCGAGAAGATTGTGATGGGACATGGGTTGAGAATAGGAACTCGTAGCAAGTTTCTAGTGTATAATTACTTTTCAAACCTCATATTTTAAATATGACTTTGTATGTGCTCTTACATGTTTCTTATGTTTAATTCCTTAATTTTTTTGGCTCCCAACTTCTGAAAATGAATTCGAACATTTCTAATAATTTTGTTTTTATGTTTTTGTGCTTATTAGGTTTGCGGGGTCTATGGCTGGTCGAAGAAAGAAAAAAATTGTACAGCAGGAACAAAAGGGACAAGAAGTACATGGTGACGAAGAACATAATGGAAAAGAGGTTCAGGTAGATGAGGAAGAAAACATGTCGGGTTCTCAAGAAACCCAGTCAACGAGGAGCACACGAGGTCGTACCCAAATGCATAAGCTTGCTATGCAAAGGGCACAAGGACTGAAGAAAGACGTACAATTCAATGAACTAGGACAACCAATTGGAGATAGTGCTGCAGAACTACAAAGTTACATTGGTGTCCTTGCAAGAGAAAAGGTGAAGTTGAATTTTAAGACATGGAAACATGTGCCACAGGATATTAAAGACAAGATATGGGACGCTGTTAATGTAAGGAAAATCTAATTCGTTTACTTAGTATTTGTGATATTTAACACATTAGTCGTTTAATTCTCACAAAATTTTATCTATGTAGTTGAGCTTCAGAGTTCCGGCAATATTCAAGAAACCTTGCTTGAGTTCAGCAAATGACAAATGGCGGCAATATAAAACACAACTCACAAATAACTTTATTTGGAAGAGACTGAATGATGAAGAAAACTTGCACAAACCACCCCCAGGATATGGTATTATGGGAGATGAATGGAGTCAATTTGTGATTAGCCGCATGTCCGAAGACTTCAAGGTAACCTCAAAACTAGAAGTCTATCTATATGTGTATATATCAATTTAATTTAAAAAGTTCAAATGCCCACCACAAGCTTTTGCACAGGTATTCATCTTGCAAAGTGTGTTTAACAAAAATAGCAACTTATCCCATTGAACAATTTAGCTCTATACAGTACACAAACTTGCAGAAACCACACCCATGTTTGATGCCACATGATTTCTGACTGTCCTGTGTAATTGCAGTAATATGATTTGTTGTGATGCTTAGTCATAATATGAAGGAGTTGCAACTTCAAGGACCAAATGAGGACATCCTGACACAGGCTCTTGAATCTAAGGAGCATGGAGGTCGGGTGAGGGCTATAGGTGGACATGTCAATCCCTCAACATATTTCAGATTGGGTAAAGGGATGCTTCCTAACCATGAGAAAAATGTCCTTCTAAGACGACAAGCAACAGTAGAAGACAGAGTTGCAAAGTTAGAAAATTTGGTCCTTCAAAATGTTGCCTTTAAATCATCTCCGATTGAAGAAAAAGGGAGTTGTACTGCAAAGGATGCAAAGGGTGCGATGAAGCTGAGTGAAGAAGAAATTGGTTTTATGAAACAAAAATTGGATTTCGAAGATGATGATGATGAGCTGCAGTTTATTGACAAAGAAGATGTCTTGGAGGTAAATATTCCCTCTTTACTGAAGTTTACATTTTACTTAGTTTATTAGGCAAAAATTACTATCTACGTATTGGTGCCTCTGTCAAATGTTTTGCAGATTTGCTTCATCCTCTCAATTTTCAAATGTTTTGCATTTTTCATATAAACTGTAGGAGATGTTAATTTGTGCATGTATATAATTCACATGTCTTGGTTAGTATATTTATTTATTTACCTAATATGTGTATATTTTGCAAATTAGAAACAATGTAAGAAGAAACCGAGCAAGGAAGTCAAAAAGCTTGAGTTGAACTCCTCAAGTATGCCTAAGTCATTATGGCTACTATACTGTTATTACAAGCGTGCACTTGGGAATGGAGAGAGTTTAAAAATAGTGCTAGATGAAAATGTCTTCGGGGAAGAATGTACTCTATATGTGCACGACGAAGATGTGACTCCGTTTTGTCAATTGATGCCAATATCGTACACATGTATTGCTGTGTACATATGGTATGATTTAATATATATTTCGAGTCAATTATATATACTTATCACTTCTATGCTTTGTTATTCTAATTCAGTTTCCATTCCAATGTTAGGTATTTGTATAAAAAGATGATGGAAGACAACAAGCTTGAAAAATTCAGATTTATGCAGCCATGTCATGTAGGTCATGTGCCAACGACAAGAACAGATAAAAATTTCCTAGACAAACAGTTGGAAAGTAGGGCACGAGCTTTAGCAGACAGACTAATTGACAATCCAAGTAGTGCATCACTTTTGGTGCCATGTAATGTAGGGTAAGAATGATTACAATTATACTTTCCATTGCATATTATTTTCTATTGATGTAATATAATTTTGTGTTTCTGTATAGTTTCCATTGGATTCTGACAGTTATCAACGTCAGTAAGGATATTGTTTATTTGTGGGACCCTCTTAGTCATCGCATTCGCGATGATGATTGGAAACATGTTGTAGAAATGTAAGTTTTTTTTTTGTTATTTCTTTCGATTTATATCAGTATGATTATCACATAATCTGAATAATCAACAATATATTTGAAGGGCTATTAAAATGGTTCATGCGGCCTCTGGGAATGGAAAGAAAGGACGAAGTAAAACTGCTTGGGAAATTGTCAAGGTAATTTAATATTTGTAACTAATTAGATATAAGTGTTTGTATATGTTAAATTGTAATGCACATGCAAATCTTATTTAACATTTGTAGGCTCCTCGTCAGCCGGATAGTAACCAATGCGGTTTCTATGTCATGGCTTACCTGAAGACTTTAATTGAGAACATGCCGGACATTGATGATAAAGATTCTGTTCAAGCACTGGTAATAATTCAATTTCTAATTCGTGTTTAAAATTATTTTGATTTCAATGTTTCAAAGTGGAAATATGATGCATTTGAGATTCTTGTTGCCAGTATAATTTTGAGTACTCCATTTATTGTTGATGTCTATTGAATGAATGCTTTTTAGTTTTTAATTTGATCATTTTATTCACAAAGTTTAAAGTGGAGAGATTAGAGAAAATACAAAAGCTCTTGCCTTTAGAACTGCTAAAACTCTATTACCGTATATTGGTTCTTGAAAATTACTCCTAACTTATTTCGAATTTCATTGCAATTACTAATTTATTTACTCACTTTTTACATGTAGTTCCAACAAGTTGAATATGACAAAGCGGTTATTGATCTGGTGCGTTCTGAATGGGCCGATATTATATCAAGTTATATACAGTAGGTATGATTTGATCATTAGAACGTTGTGATCTTTTAGACTTCGTGGAATTGTTTGTTGTAGTATTATGATGACTTCGTCGAATTGTTTTTTGTATTATTATGACTTGGATGATATTTGATTCGATGAGAATTGGTCATGGAAGTATTTACACTTGTTATTTTGAACCTTAGCTTGTGCAAAATTATGTAACTACAGTTGGCCATGGTGAATGGATAAATTGTTTTTTGGTATATGATTAAAATTTAAGCAGGTTAAAAACCGTTGAGACAACGGTTAAAAATCGTTGTCTATTTTACAATAGACAACAATTTGAAACTGTTGTCTTTTCTACAAAAGACAACAGTTTATCTGCGTGACTTTTAACAACAGCGATTTCAACAACACACAATAGACAACAGTTTATAACTGTTGTCTTTTAAAGAAAAGACAACAGTTACAAAACCGTTGTCTATGTGCATCACTTTTAACAACACCGGTTTCAAAAACATTGAATAGACAACGGGTCAAAAACCGTTGTCGTTGATAGAAATGACAACGGTTTATAACCGTTGTCTATGTGTGTGACTTTTAACAACACCGGTTTCAACAACACTTAATAGACAACGGTTCGAAAACCGTTGTCTTTACAAGAAAAGACAACGGTTAAAAACCGTTGTCTATGTGTATGACTTTTAACAACACCGGTTTCAACAACATTGAATAGACAACGGTTCGAAAACCGTTGTCGTTTCTAAAAAAGACAACGGTTAAAAACCGTTGTCTATGTGTATGACTTTTAACAACACCGGTTTCAACAACACTTAATAGACAACGGTTCGAAAACCGTTGTCGTCTCAAGAAAAGACAACGGTTTTTAACCGTTGTCTATGTGCATGACTTTTAACAACACCGGTTTCAACAACACCTAATAGACAACGGTTCGAAAACCGTTGTCGTTTCAAGAAAAGACAACGGTTTTTAACCGTTGTCTATGTGCGTGACTTTTAACAACACCGGTTTCAACAACACTTAATAGACAACGGTTAGAAAACCGTTGTCGTTTCTAGAAATGACAACGGTTTAAAACCGTTGTCTATGTGCGTGACTTTTAACAACACTGGTTTCAACAACACTTAATAGACAACGGTTGAAAAACCGTTGTCGTTTCTAGAAAAGACAACGGTTAAAAACCGTTGTCTATGCGCGTGACCTACAACAACACCGGCTTCAACAACAGAAGTTTTACCCCTACGACAACGGTTATTAACCGTTGTCTATGTGCATTTTTCTTGTAGTGGTCACGTCAGCTCAAGGAACACGTGGACTCAATAATACACACAGATTGGGTCCCACTACTTGGATTGCATGGCTAACGTTGACCAACGCACAGACCGTCCACATTTTTATCCTTTGCTTTTATTTTTATTTTTTTGCTTATTGGTGAAAATATTCAAATATTTATATATTGCGATAGAGTCGAGTTTAGGTGTGGCGAGATCCTCCTGTGTGGTCGTGTTGCAACTTTCAGAATACATTAATATTTAAGTAAATATACGCCATCAACGTTACGCAATGCACTACAAAAACACACACAAATTAGGTATGCATCACCAAAAATATACCATTAGGTATGACTAAAAGCACCACACATTGTTTGGAAATACACCATTAGTTGTAGGGAGTTATATTGTGTATTTTTTGGATGTGTTGTGTAATTTTTGGTATATTTTTGCATTTCATTGTTGTGTATTCTCTTACACTATTGGTACATATTGTTAACACTGTTGGTGTATTTTGAAAACCGTCGCACGACCTCACGGGAGGGTCTCGCTGCATTTGAACTTTTCCCTATTGCGATAACTATATATTTTTTTTTATCAATATTGGAATGCCCTTATACCCATAATATGGAATACTTAAGAGTGTTAGACCTTTAAACCTGGGATGTGGTTGAGTGGAAGAGACTCATCCATGTTTAACCAAAGCTCAAGGGTTCAATCATTGGCTTTGGATATGGGGTCGTCTTAAATCTACATGCCAGCTCCCACCCAATAGAGATGTCTATAATTTAGTAAGGCAATTAGTCACCATCTCCGGCGGTGAAAACCATGGTATTTCTATGCTTTGAATATCAAAAAGAGTGTTAGAACTTTAAATTTTGACAATATAGTACAAAATATTGGTATTATGTGATAATTATATCTAAATTTTAAAATTTAATAATTTAGTATCCAATCTTTCTATCGGGTAAGGATATAATCATCACAAAACATAATTTTAAATTATTTTATCAGTAATCTTTTTCTTTTAAATCAACACAATAATTGGAGTTGACAAATTTGTAATCAATGTGGATATATTTTAGTTATATTTGAATTTTAAGGTTAATTAATTAAACTATTATTAAAATTTTATATTTAGTTAAAATATGTTAATTAAATAAAATAAATAAATTTCAACCTATTTTTTTCTATTTAATATAACTCTTGGTTAATTTTTTTTAAAAATTAAATATTCACTCAATTATTATTTTCCAGCTTCCACATGCTAAAAGTCGCCTATACTTACTAGTTGTACAAAAATGTCCTTATCAACATTGAAATTTGCTTCTTTGTTTTTATTTTTTCTCAAATTTAAATAATTGTGATTTGATAAATTAAACAACTTATCACTGTTGTAATCATCAAGTTTAACTGTTAACTCCCTCGACAGGCATCACTATGCTTTGACTATTATACTGCCAGTTTATATTTAATCCATGAGGGTGGTTGTATTTAGCCTTTCGTTACTATTTTAATCTAATTGACAATTTTTTTTTTTTTTTTTTGAAAACAAATCTAATTGACATTAATTTTGAAGACTATCTAACAACTTTATAATCTTAAACTTTTGTCATTTCTGATTGGTAATATACAATAATGAGTTAATACTTCCAATGGTCCTCCAAGTATTAGCGATTTACCAGCTGTTGTCATCCGAGTTTTAAATGACCTCCAATGGTCCTCCATGTTTTAAAAAATAACCACATGTGGTCCTTTTAGGATATCTCGTGGTCATTTTAAACTCGGATTTTTTGTGAGATTAGGACTACGGATGGCTACTTCTAAAAACATGGAGGATTGGAGGTCATTTAAAACTCGAATGATCACAACTGGTAAATCGTTAATACTCGGAGGACCATTGGAGGTATTAACTCATACAATAATAGTCGTTGATCTAAAAATAATGAAAAATTTATGTATAAAATTTCATAGTTATATTGCTATTTTAAAGAATACAAACTCACTACCGATGTCGGTATGGTGTACGTATAAAAAGAGCACGAATTTTGTTTAGTCAACTTAATCTAAGAGCATCTGCATTAGTATGATTTTTGCAGAGATTTTTAAGTGTCAGTTAGGAGAGAAGAATGGAAAGAAAAAAAAATGAAAAAGCAAAAGAAATTAAAACAATTAAATGAGGGTGGTCGCCAATTGGCGACTTGGTGACCACCCTCAACGCGTCCACTAGGTGTTGCTGGTGCGCTTAAGTGGGGCCCACAATAGGAGATAAAAACTAGTCTCTCATACAACACTTTTTTTTTTTCTTTTCTCTCATTTCCCTCTCTCTTCCACAAAAGTAACTGCACACGGTTACAAAAACGACGTCGTTTTAATTAAAAAAAATCGTTTTCGATTGCCGTTAGTTAAGTAAACATATGTTCATAATTTTATAATTTCACATTCTGAATGTATAGTTATGAAGTTATGGATGTGTAGTTATGCAATTCTGAATGTATAGTTATGAAGTTATGGATGTGTTGTTATGCAATTCTGAATGTATAGTTATAAAGTTATGGATGTATAGTTCAAATTATGCATAACATATCGCCGTTAACGACAATCGAAACTGATTTTTTTTTTTTAAATCGGACGTCAAAACGACGTCGTTTTTGCAACCGTGTGCACTATGCATGGTGCACACAGTTGCACAGCATAACGCTCCAATTTAACCCTCCTAAAAAATCACTTAAAACCTACTATTGTGAATGCCCTAATTAAGGTACTTTTAAAGTTTTATTTGGCAGAAATAGAATTTGTGTCGAAGTCGATCTTGAAGAGTGGCATTGAGAATGTGTAATCATGAACGTTGAATTAACGAAAAGAACAGTTTTGGTGTTATATGCCGACTTAGCTAGATTGTTGAACTATACATATAGACATTCTTCAGAGCTGCTATTGTAAGACTAAATATATTGTACTAAAAGTTTTTCTGAAGCTCCGATGTGGCCATAGGAAAAGTCCGATCCTAATCATATGTAGAAATGAAAACAAATTATAGCTTTTTCGATCATCATCACTTACTTTTCCTTTTACGCGTGTTATATATAAGGAGAAGAAACATTATTTGTATTAAATTTTTTACTATTTAACAAAAAAAAAAAAAAAAAAAAAACTTGTGACTTCTTTTATGAAAATCATTCACCACCCACTCATCCATTCATCGACCTCTTTTGATACAATGTCTATATATTTTGAACAAATATATTGTGGCCTCCCTGTGTTGGATTTTCCTAATTAACATGTATCTGTAATTATTTGACTATGGATTGTATTGGTGTGACATTATCACAATTTTTGTACTCGAGAATACAATATTTTTTTTTGTTTTTTTTTTAAATAATTAGTTCGGGGTTTATTTGACATTTCTTTCTAATTATTTCAAATTCATATTAATTTACTATATATACAACTACAACTAGACTTTAAACGGTAGGACCATTGTCCAAACAATTGATAATGATGACACCTACCGACTCCAATTGAACAAGTTTATACATAATTTTATATATCAATGCATGAAAACTTCTAAAGAAATTTGTAAGTTAATTTTTACTATATCATTATAACAATATCTATTGTAACCATATATTTCAAATTATTTATCTTCATCCTCTATTAAAAGTTTAATCGAATTGTAAATTTTAAGTGAATTGGGTCAAATATTTTATATTATGATATAATATAATTGAATATGAATTTAACTCGAATATTAGGTTTTAATATTTTCGTGGTATACTGAAAAGTATTAATACCCAAATAATGAAATAAAGATA